AAGATCCCACATCAATGGTGACAAGGCCCCTTACCTGGTGGACGGAAGAAGTTACCAACTTCTTCCATGTACTAGACCAGAGGTATAAGTCTTCCATGACGAATCAGCAAAAGAGGCAGTCAGTGAAAAGAAGGGTTGGTAGACCAAGTCATAGAAATAGTGGAGAGATCCCAGAAAAATTGCACTGGGTCACCACTTTTTTAATCTAATTGTAATTTTAGTATACAGTCACTCAACTCTCTTCTAGGGACCATCTCCTATAAACTTGCTATATTTTTACCCAATGATACAGATAATGTAGGTCTGTCATCTCCATTCTTTTATTCTCTCTGAATTAAGCTTTTAATTTGACACTTTGCTGATTTCAGTTTTTTCACAAAAAAAACCACCTCATTCGGCAAATTTAAAGTGAGACTTCTGTACAATCATGGTCAATTACAAGAGAGTGTAAAGACTGTAAACACATACATGTCTAACATGTAATATTTTGAGCAATTTAAGTTATTGAGCAGTCTACATTTAAGTTATTGTCAGTGGAAAATGAATTCAGTTTCTAGAATTTTCCCTTCCTTGACCACTATTTGGCACTTAGGTTCAGGATTGAATGCAGGTATTTTTAGAAAATAATTCACATGTATGAAGGAATTTTTGAACATTATCACACTACTTCATATTTGAGTGAATTGTGGATTTGAGTGAACTTTTATCAGTTAGGACAATTATACCATGCTCATTTTAAAGAGCCCAAAATCCTGGAGAGATCTGCTATTTTAGAGGAAGCTACAATTTTCATTCTCTTCTTTTATAGTTTTCTTGTTCTCCATCAGATTGAGTAGTGTCTCAATTTCAAACATCAGAAGTGTTTCAAATAGATTTAATGCAGGCACATGAAGTTCACCTAATTATTTTTTCTTCAAACACTTGACACTCATTTTTGCAAAATGCTTATAATAGAAGTTTAGAAATTTAAACATGTATCTTGAGATCAGTTTTCTCGTAATAGTTTGTATATATTGACCCACATAATTTTTCAGACAGTCATCCTTCCAATTTTATCTTATGAATTGTACTGGAACGGTTAAGTTTTGCCTCTTTTTGGCTTTAGACAGAGAAATGTGTAAAGTAAAATATAAGGCTAGGAAACATGATTGTTATCAGGCTCCATTTCGGACTCTTAATAAATTGTACCACTAATGTCATTGTGCATTAATAAACTTGACGATAATTATTAAAGTAGTGCTTATCCTGTCTGGGAGAGGGAAATAAGACAAAATGCCTTGAGAACCTGCAGTAGAGTTCGAGTCTAGGAAGTGAAATTTGATGAACGTTGTTAACCGAGCAGCTGTAAACGTGGGAAAATTCATCCCTCACACGAATTTACCTTTGCAGAAGATACCGGGGAATGCATGAAACGTTTAAATGCGCAAAACGGCTGTAAATGGCAGAATACATGTTTTTCATAAGTTAACTGAACAACAATGAAAGGTAAAACACTGGAAAATGTGTTTCTACGAATTTTCTCGGATTCACTATCGTGGAAAAACGTTAGAAAATGCATGCTTTAGACTGGATAATTCTTGTGAACATTTCATTCACCGGGCGAAAAATGGTTGCGAACAGAAGAAAACAGCATTTTCTATGCATTATACGAACTGCAAACTCTGGAAAACATTTTGTTTTCCCACATTTACACACATTAACCTTCCCGGAAAATGTGTGTTTTCAGCTGTTTACTCTGATGAATACGTTGTTGTTCACTTGGAAAATGTCAATGAACAAAAGGAAAACATGCTGTTTGCAGTGTGTTAACCGAATGGTTAATGCCGGAAAATGAATTGTCTACCTGCATTTACCATGAAGGAAAACTACTGAATAATGGGATTCACCCATGTGAAAATGCACAGAAAACGTCGGATTTTCCACAGGCAAAACACGGGTAAACGTTAGTAAATTGCCACGTTTTCCGTGAATTCAACTATTGTTTTCTGTACTTTGGGAGCTTCAGACTATAATATGGTCTTACTTTTCTCACTTGGAGTCAATTTACTCTAACATAAGTTTATCGTAGCTTGCTAATAATACAAAACCCAAGTCTCGTTTGATATTTATTTCTTTTCTATCCTTACACAGTAAATGTTGCTCTTGGGAAGCCCACTCTTCAGTCTTCAACATATAACAATACTGACTTGAGTTTGTCAGGTGTGTCATGGAAAGCAGTGGATGGTAATTCTGATACTTACTTTAGAAATGGAAGCTGTTCACATACTCGGCCAGACGATCCAAGCTGGTGGAGAGTTGACCTGGGTTCAGATAAGGTGGCAGTCTCTGACATATCCATAGTCAACAGATTTTCAACATCGCCTGATGTGTTGGCCCGAAATAAAAACTATACAATTACATTGGGTGAGCAGCCACTATACCATTCATGTATTCAAGATATGATAAGCTACAGATAAAAGGGTACAATAAAAGTATTAAATTAGGGCATTTCCAGTGTGCAAGGTTGAAAAACCATTGTTAGTTATGTAGAATTTTGTCATACACGAATATGTATGTGTACGTGAATGTTGACAGAAATGTTTTAAAGGGAGTTTAATGTTGCTTTATCAG